ATTATTATTTTAACCTAGTAAGTAAATATCTTATATACTTAGGTAATCGATACAATTGTGGCATATTTTTAGCTATGGATTTGAAATACTCGTTGAATTTGACGACAACGCAGTGTTGCTCCCAAGACGTACCACCAAAATGATTGGATCATATTATTAAGCAGTTTATTGATGGAAAATATTCGCTTTTTGCAATCGTTGTCTTAAAAAATGTATGTTTTTAATTAAAAAAAAACGAGGCCCCTTCCCCATCAAATGTTGGTTCCAACCAAGGATAATACACACTACTACTACAGGATAGCCTATCCTCATAAGGCCTGTGTGGAACAAATCCACTCTCTCCCCAACGTTAAATCACCAGTTGTGACGTAAGCAGCATGTTATTTCTCGCCTTGAAGTAGGTTGTTTAAACAGCTGATGACTTAGTTATGGCGTCGTAAATGGTAACACACGAGGTCAATGAGCAATCCTGTAGGTGTGTATCATCCTTAAGTTCGAACACCCTCTACCAGGTACAACATGAAGCTAGCTGCTGGACCCTCATAGTTACGTCACCACCACAGCATCCTGTTATAAGACACATCAAACTTGACACATGTACTCTAAATGGCGCCACGGACGTGACCCAGGTCGCTATGACGTCATCACAGAACCCGAACCATGAATCGAACTTTGCACTATGTACTCTAAATGGCGCCACGGACCCGCACTGACGTAACCCACGTGACCCAGGTCGCTATGACGTCATCACAGAACCATGAAACGAACTTCGCACTATGTACTCTAAATGGCGCCACGAACGTGACCCAGGTCGCTATGACGTCATCACAGAACCTGAACCCTGAATCAAACTTTGCACTATGTACTCTAAATGACTCCACGGACGTGACCCAGGTCGCTATGACGTCATCACAGAACCCGAACCATGAATCAAACTTTGCACTATGTACTCTAAATGACTCCACGGACGTGACCCAGGGCGCTATGACGTCATCACCGAACCATAATTAAATATACGTAGCGATTTCGAAACGACTCGGAACAATCCCTTCCACGCAAACTCCATATCACAGGAACCTGTAATTCCCCGAACCAGAAATAACTATACGTAGCGATTTCGAAACGACTCGGAACAATCCCTTCCACGCAAACTCCATATTACAGGAACCTGTAATTTTGAACCCTTCCTGTCGATCAATTGCAAGAATTCACCGCACTCACGACAGATGGCGCCATGATGTTTGACAAGATGGCGTCGACGATGCATCCACCTTCGTGTCAACGACGGCGCATCCACCACGTGTCAAGAATGAAAGATTGAGGTTATGGTCGGATTTTGATGCTAGGACCCGCTTTGACTATCTACTGTCCTCCTCACTCACGCACATGATTTTTCACAGGTTTTTGCAGATGACACGATAAACCGCGCGAAAGAACGTGTGTCTATGCTGGCCTATTCAGGGACCTTATTCTTAAAACAGGGGAGCAGCGTTCTCAGGAAAACGAGTGTTCCTTCTTTCTCAATGATATGCCTCTGATAGTATAAGTGACAGAAGACGGAACACTCGTTCTCCTGGGAACGCTGCTCCTCTGTTTCAAGAATAAGGACCCAGGAAGTTTGGCGTGTACATGAGTTACAATTGGTCGATTTCAAATATGTGAAGCGGTGGACAGCCAAATCAACCAACAGGATCATTATTCGCTTTCCACAATTCGCGATTCGCAAGTATATGAACTACTTAAGCTTTATTAAGGAATTTTTGCAGATTTTTTTGATTTTAAGAAGTGGGCCTTGCGGGGCCCCCTATGCTCCGGGGCCCTAGCGCTTTGCGCACTCCCGCTCATCGATAGCTACGCCACTGTGGCGTCTGGGCTGGGACTCTGGCCGTGTTCGTTTTTGTCATCTTTTTCGTCGATTTGCTCCGAAATTTTGACAGGCACGTGACTGGATCAGACAGTTTCAATTTACAAATCACGTGCCTGTTAAAATTTGGGAACAAATTGACGAAAAAGATGACAAAAACGAACACAGCCTCTGTATTACCTTCGACGAAGAGAGAAGAAAAGAACAAGTGCCATATCGATAGGGATAACGATCTCTATCCGTTACAGACTTCCATCCCTGGTTACTTACCAGGGTTGGCTTAGAATTTCCCCAGGTTATAAAACCCAGTGGGGTTTTTTGGGTTTTTTTAATTGATAAAACCCACCATTATTGGGTTTTTTTGTTTTTTTTTTTTTTAAAAATAGCAAATTTTTAGTTGAATGAGCGGCATTTTCACAGAAAATATCGGGGATTCCCCAATCCCTGGCTGTTCACTGTTGGCGTAGAGGCCTGGGCAGAGACTCCCGTGCCATGTGAATTCGACATATCGAATGTGCCGAGCCTATAGAATCCTGTCGATATGTAGAATCCTACATGACACGGAATCTCTGGGCTGGCCAGCCAGAGGCACGGTGCAGTACACTGATGCCAAGTGTAATTATCTATATCAAGTGGCTTGCTCTATTTTGTAAGGATATTTTATTTTTGCAACAAAAGTCATAATTTTTGTAATACTTTTGCTAGAGCAGAAACTATAAATCAAATTTTGAAGAAAAAAAACAAAACCCTCCGGGAAGCCCGAAAAAACCCAAAAAAACCTAAAAAACACATAAAAACCCAAAAAAAACCCGATGGGTTGAACTTTTTCAAAAAAACCCGGGTTTTTTCCAACCCTGTTACTTACTGGTTAATGTTTAATATCGCTGACCATATCCCCATATCCTAACCTTTGCAACCTTCCTAACCATTTCGTTACCGCTTTATAACTACTTTTCGTAACCCGGTTAACGCCGAAACTCTCCTCATCTCACCTCAACCATAACTAACCCAAACTGCAACTCTAATAACTGTACCTAAAATGAATTTTAATTTCAAACACTCCTTTCCAAAATAAATATCGCGATATTATATCATGATATACAGGGTGTATATTTTAAGTGATACCACTATTGCTATATCCGAAACGGTAAGAGCTGCAAGGTTGGTTAAATTAGAAAAAAGATGCCTTTTTTATGCTCATTTAAGTCTCGGTTACAGTGCTGCCAAATTTCTTTTAGTTCATGAAATACAGGGTGATTTCTAAGAAACGCCTAGAAAAATTTCATCTATTATTTCAAAAACTATTGATTTTCGAAACTCAATTTAAATTTAAGTTTTATAATTTTTTTCGCTCTACAACATGGCATCTTCAAATTTTAAATCCGACGTTTCGTGATCAAGCTACCATCATCAACTTCATTTTTTTAAATACGGACCTAGATTTTTTATGTCATTTTTAGAAAGGGCTCTTTATTCCCTTTATAACGATATACATCTTAACTATGATTGGCCGACGACGTTTCTGCTCTAAAAAGTAATTTTTACCAACATTTTATCTTAATTCGGCTCTGAAGATCACTTTTGAGAGCAGAAACGTCAGCCAATCATACTTGAGAGGTATATTGTTAAAAAAGGGAATAAGGGAGCTCTCTAAAATTGACATAAAAAATCAAGATCCGTATTTGAAAAAATTAAGTTGATGATTGTAGCTCGATCACGAAACGTCGGATTTAAAATTTGAAGGTACCATGTTGTAGAGCGAAAAAAATTAAAAAACTTTCAAATTTAAGTTGTGTCTCGAAAATCAATAGTTTTTGAAATAATTGATGAAATATTTTTAGGCGTTTCTTAGAAATCGCCCTGTATTTCATGAACTAGAAGGAATTTGGCAACACTGTATACGAGTCTTAAATGGGCATCGAAAAAGGCAAATTTTGTCCAATTTAACCGATACATACATAACTACTACATAATTTGTTAGAAAAACGCGATAGTTTTGAAAAAAAACAAATTGATACCAGCGAAGCTATTTTTGGGACACCCTGTATAATAAAAAGTATATCGAAAAATTTCAAACAAAAAAACCAAATTGACGTGTCTGAGCGAAACAATAGCTCTGTGCGTACAGCAATCACAAACCAGTCAGAGCGAATTTCATTGGTTGAAAACAGTCAGAAAGCTAAAGTAAAGTGCGTTTTTTTTTTTAAAGATAAAAGTCAAAATGACATTATGTTGGCAATACAATGTAAAATTGTCAATCTTTCAAATTTTTTATGTAGAAAAGCAGAAAAGGCTTGTGTTGCCAACATAGTTACTAAATTTTTGACTTGGGGAATTATCTTAAAAAAAAAAACAGACTTTACATTTTCTCTCATATCTCGAAAACAAACAAAAAGTTGGCAACCCTGTGAACTTACCTTTAATGGACACTAAAATTTGCCATTTATGTCTAATTCAACGGACCTCGTAGCTCTTACCTTTCGGAGATAGCAATAGTGGTATCACTTAAAACGGACACCCTCCCTGCCTTAAATTTATTCCAGTTAATCTTTCCATGAGGAAATATTTTCTTAACAAATAGCTGAGTAAATACTGGTTTAGCTGAACTGCTACTCTCGATTTTTCCCATAGAAATCAATCTGTTAAAAGTGTATTTTTTTTTTGTCAGCAACACATTTTAAATGGGAAAGATCAAAAGATTAACTAGGTACCGGGTGTCAAGTTATAAAGTACCTCCCCCTGTAACTTTTTTATGTACGATCAAATATAAAAAAGTTACAGGGGGTGGTACTTTATAGCTTGACACCACCCTTGCCTTGACACCCTGTACCAATGGATATCAACTGAACTAACTGAACTTTATTGAACCATCACCATTTATTTGGTTTGAATACAACCGGGCCTTAAACTACTTTCACTTGTTTTACTTGAATGCATTCTTATTATGAGAAATACAATTATTATTATGTGTGTGACGCTAGCTCCTTGGAGCCCGCTCCTTGCCTCAAATTTGGATTCGCGAACGTAGTCGAAAGTGTGAAGCCAGCTCCTTGCGGCCCGCAACTTTTATCACTTAATAAAAATAAAGCTGGCTGAATATATTTTTCAAATAATTTAAAACAGAATATAACTATTATTTTGATTGTGTCGTTTGCTTTTGGTTGAAAAAGAAATTTAGTTATATTCTGTTTTAAATTATTCGAAAAATATATTCAGTTTTATTTCAAAGTGATAAAAGTTGCGGGCCGCAAGGAGCTGGCTTCACACTTTCGACTACGTTCGCGGATTCATATTGGTGGCAAGAAGCTGGCTACAAGGAGCTAGCATCACACACGTATTATTATTTAGCCTTTAAATACCGCCCAAAAGTATAGTTAAATCACCTACCTACTTTACATAAACAAAAATACCTAACTTACCCTTTTATTTTATTTTGATGCCTAAAGTCTGAACACATAAAACCTCAAAACTTGCAGGACACTTGATATTGATAATTGAAGTAAACAAACAACATATTAGATTATGTTGATCTGAGATAAAAATGTTTATTACTAGTCATACAAAATAATTAAAAATTTGCACGAGCAGCACAAATTTTCAAAGTGCTTTGTTTTTGTTGTTCAATTATTGTAATTGAAGATTTCACTTTGTACCAGGGGGATTCCCATATTCAAATCGGAAAAAAATGCTGCCAACATGACGAAATTCAATTCCAAAAAAAGTACCGCCTTTAAACTACCTGATACCACTTTAAAACTAAAAACCCCAATATTTATGGGTTTGTTGTTTTAAATTTTAAAGAGGTTAGAGTACCGCAGGAACTGCTGAGTACGGGATAGAGATGTGTTCGAGTATATTTCAGTTTACTGCACTCTGCCAATAATTTATACCTAATTTTATTAGATTTGAGTTGAGCAATTTTAATGGTTTTGTAAACTTTGGATTCACTTACCTTTTTTTGGATTTTGAAATTTATACTTTTTACCAGCACAAAACACAAGATAAAATATGAAAACGCCTTGGGTCTATTTTCGTACCAATTGGTTCATGAATTCATAAGTATATTGAAAAATACTCATGTGAATCCCAGATGATTTTGATTAGTTTTCTTTGTCGTATTTCGAATAGGCGAAAAGGAAAAAATATCGCGAATCATTGTTTGCGGTATTCTCGGTGAAATACTGAATTTTATTTTGCATTCAAATAAATGGCTTACTTTGCATTAAAATGTATTGTGTTTTATGTCTTAGTAAGGTTCACATTATTTAAGTAATTATTATTTAAATCAATATGGTTTTCGATTTTAATTCGGTTTTTGATAGTTGTCGTAAAATTATTATGTACCTGTTAAATATTTTTGTACCAGTCACTTGGAATTCTGATGGTAAGAACTATAATAAGAAGTCATCAGCAAAAGTCGATACTCTAATACCAAAAAGTGTCAATTATCATTTTACAAGAGTTTGCAACTACAGCTGCGGATTTTGCTTTCATACTGCCAAAACTTCTTTTATGTTACCGTTGGATGAGGTTAAACGTGGATTCGATTTATTGAAAAAAGCAGGTAAGTGCCATAGAGTAAGTGCTTGCCTACAATTTTTTTATTAGAATCGATTTTGAAGGGAGGCATTTTAGGTAAATACAGGGTGGTCCAATTTAAACACTTTTGATAGGAAACGTCAATTATTTCTATGCGAGATACAAAAAAATTAACGTCTGCTGTGACCTGGGGTCCGATTTTCGAATATTTTCGTATACGAAATTTGATACGATTTCGAATGCTCCCCATTTAATTTACATTGCTGTCAGTCAAATTTCGTGTACGAAATGTACTCGAATGGTTTCGAAAATCGCACCCCAGACCGCATTTAGATATCTTCAACCGTTTCGCCGCTAGAGGGCGTTTATTGATTTTGAGCAAACAAACATTGGCGACAATAGGCACCGCCGCCATTTTGTGCTTCTCTTCTTAGTTCTTGCTAATGTTAAATATGAATATACCGGGTGTTTTTCAAAACCCGCTCACCCCTATAACTTTTTTATTTTTCAAGATAAACAAATGAAATTTGGTGTGTTAATTTATGACCCGGATGTACATTATTTGACGTATTTATTTTTTTACTATCACTTCCGGTTTGACCGGACAAAATAAGCTCAAAACAAATTTTCCCATGTTTCTAGGAGCAAAATTACTTTGGCATTTTAACTTATTCATGGCGCTCTAGATTAAAAAGTTAAAATTTAAATAATTTGGAGGTGAAATGTCAAAAAGTGACAAATGAGGTGTCATTGTACTCGTAATGTAATTTTCTATTGAAATGAGGAAAAATTTACCTGGCGTCTCATTTAAAATAGGGAAGTTAGGGTCACTTCCGGTCAAACCGGAAGTGATAGTAAAAAATTGAATACGTCAAATAATGCACATCCGGGTCATAAATAAACACACCAAATTTCATTTGTTTATTTGAAAAAATAAAAAAGTTATAGGGGTGAGCGGGTTTTGAAAAACACCCGGTATAGGAATTAAATGGACATCTATCATAAAAAATTGAAAACAACGTACCTATTTGATGACTACTATATTTAAAATTAGCAAAACGTGGGGCACAAAATGGCGACGTTATTTTCAATATGAATATCTCGATGAATATACAGGGTGAGTTCCTAAGCGCGCGGTGGTCTATATCTCCTATACTAACCGAGATCGAAGAAAAAACTAAATACAAAACTTGTAGATAAATATGAGTACTACATTCCTAAATTATTTTCCAGCATACAGGGTGGCCTAATAAGTAGTGATGACACAAAGCTATGTTTTTTTAAATGACTCTCCCTGTATATTATGACATTTCTAGATTCTGCGGAAAATTCTACACATATTCCATATAAAATGTCATATACCTATCTACAACTGTTTCTTGAATATTAATTGACAGTTGAAAATTGACTTTTTTGCATCCTTGACAGACTGTAAAACCGGAAGGGTTAATTTAACAGCAAAACCGATCATACATTCTCAGATTAGTTTTTCATAAACTATCATTTGACACCAACTTTGAATTTAATCCATGATTAAAAATTCCGCCTGAATTATTAATCTCCGGTTAAACTCAAAGTTGGTGTCAAATGATAGCTTATGAAAATCTGAGATAGAAATGTGAAATTGGTTTTCCTCTAAAATTACCCGTTTAAGTTTTACAGCCTGTCAAAGGACCCCGCACATTTCTTATGGAAAAGTGATCTATGTGGAATTTTGCGGAATTTTTGATATTGTGTATAAGGAGTCGTCCTTAACAAAAGTGATCATTGCGCTAATGTTCAATACCCAACAGTTTTCAAGATATCAATTAAAAACTTTTTTAATATGATACTCTTCAGTATGACGTCACCAGTATGCTCACAGCAACGAAAATTATTACTATCCTTTCCACTTTTGACTTTGACATTACTCTTCTCCTTTTAACATTAAGAAAAAAAAGATAGCGATAGCGATTAGTGACAAATAAGTAGGTATGTAAACAACACCTAGCTCCTGCCGCAATCGTCAACTTCATGTCATGATGTCTGTCATATAGCGATTTCATTTGTACCTGTTGTTGTTTTTTTTTATTTCCTAAATGTTAACAGGAGAAGAGTATAAGTATAGTTAAAGTCAAAAGTGAAAAGGATAGTTATAATTTTCGGTGCTGTGAGCATACTGGTGACGTCATACTGAAGATTATCATGATATTAAAAAAGTTTTTAATTGATATCTTGAAAACTGTTGGGTATTGAACATTAGCGCAATGATCACTTTTGTTAAGGACGACTCCCTATACACAATATCAAAAATTCAGCAAAATTCCACATAGATCACTTTTCAATAAGAAATGTGCGGGGTCCTTTGCAAAACGTCAATTTTCAACTGTCAATATTTCCGAAACAGTTGAAGATAGGTACATGACATTGTACATGAAATATGTCTAGAATTTTCCACAGAATCCAGAAACGTCATAATATACAGGGGGAGTCATTCAAAAAAACAAAACTTTGTATCAATTCTACTTATTGGGCCATCCTCTATAATGAAAAATTATTTAGGAATGTAGTACTCATGTTAATCCACAAGTTTTGTATTTAGTTTTGACCACCGCGCGCTTAGTATAACTCACCCTGTAGTATAGGATTTCAAAGAACGAATCGAAAATAGGACTGCAATTTATTGTCGCCACTGTGGTAATAGAGTCCCTGTAACAATACAGTGACTAAATAAACCCATAGAAGGATGCGCTCTACAGAGATCTTCGTACCCATAAGAGATACAGGGTTGGTTAAATTTGGAAAAAGTTGCGCATTACTGAGCTCAGTGGCGTAATGTTTTGATATTACGGAAATTCCGAAGATATCTACATAAAAAAAAACGAATCTAGTGGAAATCGTTTTTATTTTTTTCTGATTATTTGAAATGATATCGCAAAATAAATGTCACTTCATCGTTACCATTTTTTCTCCTATAGAGGTTTATGGTAATGATGCCAAGACCAGTTGCTAGATGAGGAGATTTATAGATCATTTCTTTGACTTCTTGGAAAGCTGCATCCTGATTTGCACTCTCGTCTCTCATTACCATTATTTTTTGAGGTACAATTATTTATGCCTAAGATTCTTTCTAGTTTTGTCTGATTTGATGCGAAGGTTCTTTTAAGTTTATCCATTTTCTTAGGGTATGGAATTATTTCATATGCAACACATGCATGTGTCTCAAAATGTTGATAGTTTTTTTTTATAAACTCACATTTAGTTTTATTTAGAGTCCATTCATCTCTTCCTAGTTTAGTCAAAACTTCCTCTAGTCCACCGTCATGTCAAGATTGTTCTTTTTCAAAAATACCTAATAATGTCATCAAGATACCTGGAACAGCTACAAGTGTTTCAACTACTTTTTTTTGAAAAGCTTCTAGAGATGGAGCAGATAAAATTCCAAAGGGCATACGAATAAACTTGCAAAATGGATGGATCATTAGATAGGAGGATTTGCCAAAATTCAGAGTTGAGACAGTAAATGATTAGTAGATAGAAAAGAAATAGGTATTTTCTCTTTTCACAAATTGGTTCAGTTTAGTTAAATCTACACAAAGTCTTATAGTTTTATTAGCTCCAGGCACATGACTGTTGTAGGTTGCAGCACTGTAATTTCTTAATCACTTCATTCTATCTGATTTATTTGTAAGAACATCTTTCAGTGGTAAAAGAAAACGCCTAGGAACGCTTAGGGCAAAATGTTGAGCATTTTCATTTTATTAAATGCGATAGGTTTCATTAACTTCTTTTCCAAGGCCACTGAATAGTTCGGAAAATGATTTAATAGGTAAACTGCGCAGATTTAATTTTGATATCCTCTTAAAATATCTATTACGCGTTTGAAATGTGGCCGGTGCGTTTTTTAAACCGAAAGGCATTCTTAATTAAGCAGGTATAGGTTGTATCAATCTTTAATATCTCATCAGTGTGATTTATTGTTTAATCCCGAAGAATTTTGAAATCTCATAAATCTCTTTCCCAGTTGTTGGATTTCTCATGAGATTTAAATAAAAAAGTTTATTGACAGGCATTTTGATTTTGGAAACTTGAATGCATTTATTTTCATTTCACTTTTATGTACTTAAATTAAGATTGTATTGTAATAAGCTATTCAATAAATCCACTTCAATCAAAGTATATTTTCTAGGAATGGAAAAAATAAACTTTAGCGGAGGGGAACCGTTTTTACCAAAACGTGGCAAGTTCTTGGGCGAAATGGTCCAGTACTGCAGAGAAACTTTAAAAGTCTCAGTTTCAATTATTTCAAATGGATCCATGATTACTGAAAAGTGGCTCCAGAAATATGGCAAATTTGTTGATATCCTTGCTGTTTCATGTGATTCATTCAATGAAGAAACAAATACAGTAAGGATCATTTGAAATAATTATTTACTCAATGTATTATTATTCCTACTAGAAGTTTCTATAATCCTCCTCTCAACAAATGACCAAGAAACTTATTTTTACTTTACCTCGAAGATTGAAAATTCTTATTTTTTTTTGTTTTAGAAAATTGGCAGACGTCAAGGTAGCAGTGATCACGTTAAAAAATTATGGCAAATTAGAGACTGGTGCACGAAATACGACATTCTCTTCAAAATAAATACTGTGGTTAATACCTATAATCAACATGAAACTATGATTGATGAAATAAAGCAGTTGAATCCTATTAGGTAAATCATTAAAGTTTTTCTTGTTCTTGTTTGTCTCTCTAATTATGTTACTTCTATCATTGTTTATCAGCGAAATGTTTTCATTACTTCAAGAAATAATGCTAACTGCTAAACCTTAAGGCCCGGTTTATTCATCTTCAGATAAACTTGCTGGTAACTATCTGCAAAATAAATTCACCATTCTATAATTCCATTGGTCGGCGGATAACTTGCCGACCAATAGGATTGCAGATTGCGTTTTTTTCGCCAGATTGCTTATCTGAAAGTTTATCGGACTGTGTATGAACCGGCCCTAAATAAAATAAATTTTAGGTGGAAAGTATTCCAATGTCTACTCATTGAAGGAGAAAATGCCGGTGAAGAAGCTTTAAGAAATGCAGCAGACTTCTATATTTCTGAAGAAACTTTTAAAGCGTTCATAAAGAGGCATGAATCAATCCGGTGTATTGTTCCAGAGTCCAATGATAAAATGCAAAACAGTTATTTAATATTGGATGAATATGTAAGTACATATACATATTTGTTAACATACCTTCTCTATTAGGTAAATAATGACGCTAGTATATACTAGTATATACATATAGCTGTAAGATTTAGGTACCTATATTTGACGTTATGCATGAAGCTACAAGATCACCAAATAAAACATAAATGAACTTGACACTAACTACACAATTAACTTTTTACTATACATACTGACCTAAAAACCATTTTCAGTGCAAAAAGTGAGGTAGAAAGTTACAAGCTCGAGTTTCTGCATTGCAAAGTCTATCGACTGATCATTATTATTATTATTCCAGATGAGATTTTTGGATTGCCAAGGCGGTTCCAAAGAGCCATCGAAATCCATACTGGATGTTGGAGTTGAAAACGCACTCAGATTCTCTGGGTTCGACGAGGCCATGTTCAAAAAACGCGGAGGTTTCTACAAGTGGTCGAAAGAAGCCAACAAAATGTCTTGGTAGAAAAAAGTTATAATAATAATTGACATGCAATTGTGCAAACAGTATTATTGATGTAATATGTTTTATCTACGACCTGCACAATAAGTGACTATTATGTCCCTAATTTTTGCTCATTTGCGTTATGTAATGAGCCCTATTACCGCACTGGCACGCGTTTATTATCGCACTAGTGCGGTAAGAGGTCATCATTTTTTTTTAAACTACATAATCGAGTACACAATAGTTATTTATAATTTTTTTGCTTGTTAGTGACTTCAGTAGATATTCCGGTTGGTTTTTCTGAGAAAGATTGGATTTAGGCAAAAATAAACGGCGTTGAAGAAGATAGGCAAATACACATTTTCTTCTTCTATGTCGTTCATTTTTGACCTAAATCCAACCCTTCTCGAAAAAACTAACGGGTTATTTAAAATAGACAAACGACAATAGTCACTTATTGTGCAGGTCGTAGATAAAATGTTGTATATCACACGTACGGTAAGGCTCATTACAACACTCGTCGAGGCAATATTTCCGACTCGTTACTGTAATGGAGCTCATACCGTACCGGTAATATAAACACTATTATCACTTATTTGTATACATTTTTTTTATGGACTTTATGCATAGCTAGTAGTGACAATTTAACATCTAAAAAGAGGCCGAGATGCAATTGTTTGGGCCAGAACATTTACCACCGCTTTAATGGAAATTGCAATATATTTTATTTGTTCATTTTTAAATTTTAGATATTTGTTCAATAAATAGTATATTACAATCAGAGACGGGAAATTAGCTATTACTGTCGAGAGATTTTATAGTTTATCGAGACCTGTAGCGTCGAGATAAACTATATCTCGAGACAGTAATTAAATTTCCTGTCGAGCATAGTATACTATTTTATTTTTAACCATAATTTTTGCTAATTTAAATTAGAAATGAAATTGAACGTGAACGTAGCTTCATGCTATTTGCTTGAATTTTATGTCATTGTCATCAATTTTGAAAAAAATTTGACAATACCTGCCACATATAAATATAATGAAACGAGGACGGGAAGTGAGGACGGAAAATGGGGACGGGAAGTGGAGCAGGGAAATGAAAAGACAGTAAAGTGACATTTCCAAATTTTTAAAAAGACTGTAATGTCAACATTACATAATATATGGTTAAAAATAATAGTATATTATATGCCTAGGTAGAGAAGTTGGTCATTATATATACCGAGCGCTTTTATATATAATGCGTGAGGTATATAATGACTTTCTCTACCGAGGAATATATAGATTTTTTTTTACTACTGCTAGTAGAAAATAAAAAATTTGCTTAAAATCTGTGCTCTAATTATTTTTTTTTGAACGCCCTCTTGAAAGTGCTGCCCTCTATCAACAGCTTATGATAACTTCCTATGTACCTACAGAAACCTGTATTTTGTTTTAAATTGACGCATGAAATTGAAATTGGACCAATAGAAACATGACAATATCCTTGCGTCATGACGTCATTTTCATTATTGACCTAGGGACTTTTTCATTATTTTCATTATTCACCTAGGGAGAGAAATTCAATTTTTTCCTAGAAAAAAATAGATTGAATAATGACTATTTCTCAGGTAAGTAGTAAAAAAAAATAATTACCTACCAAAATCTCAACATAAAAAATTTAAAATTTCATAATTTTTGTACTAGTGCGGAAGTAGACAGAAAGGCGTTTCCATTATTTATCTTGTTCTCAACGTATAAATTCAAAAGTGAGAAGCTAAAAAAAGTTTAAACCAAAATGGTTCAAATTAGTATGGTTTGAATTATAAGTGCTTAGTGCAGTAAACTAAAATATACATGAACGCACATTCGTATCCTTATTGGTATTCCGTAGTCGTAGTACTCGGTTCGTGCAATGTCGTATTTGGTACTGACGGTACTCTAACCTAACCTTTTAAAATTCAAAACAAACCAATAATATTGGGGTTTTTAGTTTTAAAAAGTGGTGTCGGGGTAAATATGTAGGTAGTACTTTTTTTTAAATTTAATTTTGTTATGTTGGCAGCATTTTTTCGATTTGAGTTCGGGAATCCCCGTGCTACAAAATAAAATAATCGTTATAAATATTCAGTGAAACAACAAAATAAAGTACCTAATGTAAAACTAACCCTTTTGGGCTCTCAATGAGGACTTTTTAGTGGGTTTTCGCAATGCAGATTCATTCCTCAGTCAAGATAATGCCGGAAAATATTGTCAGGAACCATATGAAATAAAATGAAAGAATTACTGATCTGATAATCAATTAATAACAATGCAATTACTCACCGGGGGGTTTTACCGCCCCTTGCCTCTTGGTCATTCTGGCATACCAATACTAAATATTCCTGGCTAAAGATATAATTAAAATAGCAGGATTAATCTTCACTTGTATCTTCTTTCTTCGACGACTAGCTAGTGCCCCCCTGAAATAAGTCAAGGCTTCCCCGGACACTTAATTGCCGCTAAACAATCAGTATCCCAACAAATTGGGTATTGGGGTGTTTGCTCTACACCCCTATACCTATTTGAGTCAATCAAGTCGCAAGTAAGGCCCCCAATCTTACAAGACACAACCTGAAGGAATGGCGCCCATACCAGCGTATAGAGGCTTGCTACACCAGCGTGCAATAAATGTACTCATAGTACATTTCCATGAGTTTCTACACCAGCGTGCAATATATTATGATTCATAAATATCAGGTTATACACAGTATATATCAGCAATAATTATTTATATCGGCCAAAGGCTTACCAAAATCCGTGTACACACACAAACATTGAAAAACAACCTCTGTTCCTATCTGCTTGACTCCCCGCTCACCACTCATCCCTTTCTTTTTACCCTCTCGACGATTCCTTCTTTCTAAGATTCCCCTTCTCAATATTTTACCTGAAATGAAGAGGTTCTGGGCAGCTTGGACTATTTAATTAAGAGGCGACAAATGGTTTTGTTTGATTATTAAATATAATTTATTGACAGGAATACAATAACTGGAATGTTGATTACATAATTATTTTACACTAATTACTTGAGAATTTGTGCTTCTCGTGCTAATTTTTAAGTTTAAATTTATATACATTTGTAGTGGAGCTTGTAATTTTTTTATCAGATAAAAAAAATATAAAGAGCTGCTTGCGTACATCAAAATAAATATAAGTAAAGGGTAAGTTGAGTAGGTATTTTTGTTTATATGAAGGTGGTAAAATTGAGTACATAATTTTAAGTTTTTTAGAAGCAAAATCTTTCATGAGAATAATATAAATGTAGGTATAAGTGATGTATAATGCCTCTAAGCAAAACAATAATTTAAGCTAGTCTTGAGCTAGTAATTTGAGTAATTTACCTCTACTTTTACTTTCTAGCAAGCAACAATTTAAAGTAGAAGAAAATGTTCATTGCCTGCCACCTGAAAAATCCTAACTTGAAATAAAATTATTTCATCCCATATATGAAGCATTTGTAGTGATATTTTATTAAACTTCATGTGTTAAGGGAGATTTTTCACTCTTTCTGGTTGTGTGAGATGAACATATGTTTTAAGGTAGACTCCCATACAAAAAAATTCAAAGGATTTAGATCAGGAAACCTCGCTGGTCATTCAATATAACCTCGTTCTTTCAATCCACTTATCAGGAAAAACTTGATTAAAGAGGGGGTGTGCGCCAAAAACACAACTTCATCTCAAAAAAAAGAGAAAAAAAAACTAAGAATAACAGTGAAAACCGCACCCCTCTATGACAAATAATACCGAAGATATGGCTCTATGAAGGTACCAAATCTCACCCTATGACGTCACGAAAGCTCAAGCAACGCACAAGAAAGTGAAGTAAATTGAATTTACATATGTTTTTCCTGTGTCACCTGCAATAATCAAAAACCACTCACGCGTGCCGGGAACAATCAAATGAACACTGCGGAGCGCGGCTGGATGAAGCTCTTGTGACGTCACACACACTTTAAAGCGGTATATCTCAGCGATGGTTTATCGTAGAATAACGAGGTTTGAACAGCTATTCTTAGATTTTTTTACACTAAAACTTTAATTTTTGGCGCACACCCCCTTTAAGGTATAAAATTGAGGACAAATTGGGCATTGTCGTGCACCAGCTGCTGCAACATATTTCATGTTCCTGAGAATGTTTCAGAAAATTTGAATGACTTGATCCAATAATTCAGTGCTAACAAAACCTAAGTTTTTGTTGAGAACATTGAGTTTGATTTTCTATTCTTCTCATAGCGGCAGTTGTGTCGATTCACGTGTCCATTTTTTTACTTGATATCCTGTTTCAATCTAAAATCAAATCCGGATCATCTACTATAGTTGACTCTTGATGCATTTGCATTGTATAAAGTCGCTGCTTCTAAGAAATTGAGTGTTAATAAACTGCAGCAGACTGACAGACAATTGAGATTTTCACTTTATTTAGGAAAACTTTCCTCGCACATTGTAAGGGATTCTGAGAGACTAAATGCTCGCTATTATAACAACAACAATTTTCATTCAACTATATGCAGACAAATACATTATATTTTTTTAGGTGAAAACTTTTCGTCGAATTGTGAAAAATCAAGTGATCAACTTTGCTTGGAAATTATTGGGGATTTCAAGAATAATTTTTATTTTAAGAGAAATCAGTGGCGTAGCATCAAAATCTGCCAAAATAGGCTGGTCAAATTCCGTACGAACGCCACTGGTGGAAATTAAAGAATACATCTTGATACATATTACATGTATGCCAAATTTCATTAAAATATCTAAAATGATGTAACAGATATTAATATAATTATTGATTTATTTTTGAAAATTTTCTCACCCTGTATCTCAAAAGCTTACGGCCAATTTCAGAACAGAGAATTAAAAGTTACTTTAGCTAAATAGACTTTTACGGCCAATTTCATAATCAACTTAAAGTAAACTTTAAATTTAAAACTCCATTTGAAGTTGAAAAAACCTATCTTAAAAGTCTATTTAGCTAAAGTAACTTTTAATTCTCTAATCAACTCTTATTAACAAAGCTGATACATTACATAAAAATAAATATAGAAGTAGAGGTGGATAAATAAAAATAAATGAAAATTAGAAACACCAAGAAAAAAATCGTTTTTAAAACTATAGGTAGGTATTATAGCTGATTCACCTCGTCGATACCACAAAAACCATCTCCAAAAATTAAAATCCTGTCTCAAATAATAATATTACCAAGACAACCTCAGGGAAATTATCCAGAAGAAGCACATTTTTCCCCAAAAAAAAGAAAATTTCATTTTTTTCACCCTTTAGACTTGCCCACCTAATACATAATGCATATATTTTAGGTCTATAAACCTAGCAGTCCCAAGGTGGAAAAAAACTTCGGGAACTATATAATAATTAGGTGCTTTTTAAGTGCTAATTAGGGCCTCTAATTGAAAATTAGGTGCTCCTTTAGTTTTTGAGAAAATCAAGAAAAACTAAGGGACTGCTAGGTTTATGAAAGCTAGCAGTCCCCTATAGTGAAAAATATTTTTTCAAATTTTTTCTTTGTATCAGAATTAGGTGCTTTTTAGGTGCTCCTAAATAGTCCAAGAAAGTATAGAATTGATTAATTATCAACTGAGTTAGAGATTTTTTTTTAATTATTAGGGGACTGCTGGCTTTACGTCTACTTGTTGGTGTGTCAGAATAGCAGAAAAACTTCGGAATCTATATAATAATTAGGTGCTTTTTAGGTGCTAATTAGGGCCTCTAATTAAAAATTAGGTGCTCCTCTAGTTTTTGAGAAAATAAAAAAAAACTAAGGGAGTGCTAGGTTTATGTAAGCTAGTAGTCCCTATAGTGAAAAATATTTTTCCAAAAATTTCTTTTGTATCAGAATTAGGTGCTTTTTAGGTGTTCCTAAATAGTCCAAGAAAAAATAGAATTGATTAATAATCGAGTTAATAATTAACTGAGTTACAATTTTTTTTAAAAATTATTAGGGGAATGCTGGCTTTACGGTTACATGTTGGTGTGTCAGAATGGAAAAAAACTTCGGGATCTATATAATAGTTAGGTGCTTTTTAAGGTGCTAATTAAGGCCTCTAATTGAAAATTAGGTGCTCCTCTAGTTTTCGAGGAAATAAAAAAAAACTAAGGGATTGCTAGGTTTATGAAAGCTACAGTAGTCCCCTATAGTAAAAAATATTTTTCCAAATTTTTTTTTGGTGCTTTTCAGGTGCTCCTAAATAGTTGAAGAAAAAATAGAATTGATTAATTATTAACTGAGTTACAGATTTTTTTTTTAATTATTAGGGGACTGCTGGATTTACGTTTACTTGTTGGTGTGTCAGAATGGCTTAGAAACTTCGAGATCTATATGTATAATAATTAGGTGCTCCTAGTTTTTAGGAAAATCAAAAAAAAAAACTAAGGGAATGCTAGGTTTATGAAAGCTAGAAGTCCCCTATGATAAAAAATATTTTTTCAATTTTTTTTTTATAAGGGACAGCTAGCTTTCATAAACCTAGCAGTCCCTTAGTTTTTTTTGATTTCCCCAGAAACTAATGGAACACCTAATTTTTGATTAGAGGCCC